AAAAAAAAAAAAAAAGATGAATTCCTGGACCTACCCTAGACCTACTAAATCAAATATGGCAATGAAAGTACTACTCAGAAGTCTGTATTTTTAAAAAGCTCCCTAAATTATTCAGATGCAGGCAATGATATAGAAACCACTAATATAACATTTCCAATTTCCTTTTAGACATGAAAGAACTCAAAAGCCCAAATTTTTGACCCATCTCTAGGAGCTAGGTAGGGTTTTATGGCTTACCATAATGGCATTTTATTTCCCTCCTTGGTCTTGATCTGCTATTTCAGTTTATTTTATTCCTGGCACTGATTCTTCTTACATAGTCTTAACCATCTCAAACAATGACTTAAGCAGCTTTTTAAAAATCAATCACATAAGAAAAATAAATTATACTTACCACTTCATAATCTGTTTTTTTGTCTTTACGCATCTGATTAATGGAGGTTAAATAGCTTGGTGGAATGATTAGGTTTTTGAATTCTCCAAAATCACACTTTTCATTCTTTAAGCTATGTTTCATGCACTCATCATGTACTGTCTTCTGGCACCAAATGCACCTGAGGGAAAGAAGAAACAAGCATTAATTAATTTTAAACCATAATCTCATTGATAACCCACAAAACAATCATTTTTGCTAAAAAATAAAACAGTAATTTTATCACTACTTACCATAAAATTTGGCAAATAAAAGATATATAACTCTATGTGCACAGTGAAATGCAGCGATAAGGTTTTTTTCTTTTTTTTTTCTTTTTATGCCCCAGGGTATACTAGTCAAGCTTTAGGAGCAATAAGGTTTGAACATATTTGGCAGTTTAATCTAACCGTATTTCCTTTTTTGTTTTTTTGAGACAGGGTCTCACTGTCACCCAGACTGGAGTGCAATGGTGTGATCTCAGCTCACTGCAACCTCCACTTCCTAGGCTCAAGTGATTCTCCTGCCTCAACTCCCGAGTAGCTGGGATTACAGGTATGTGCCACTACTGCCCAGCTAATTTTTGTATTCTTAGTAGAGATGGGGTTTCATTATGTTGGCCAGGCTGGTCTTATATTCCAGACTTCAAATGAGCCACCCATCTTGGCCTCCCAAAGTGCTGGGATTGCAGGTGTGAGGCACTGTGACCAGCCTGACAGCATTTCTTAAAGTGTAGCTTGGGGCCCCCGAGATTCATTCAGGCCCCCAAGATCTGTGAGGTTAAAATTTTAATACTACTACTAAAGAGTTATTTCACCCTCATCCTCTCAAAAATGTACAGTGGAGTTTTCCCGAAGCTTTATGACATGTGCTATGACAACAGAAGCAAATATGATAATCTAGCTGGATTATAAGTCAAAGAAACGTGCAAAGAATTAAAACAATGTAACTCTCCTCACTAAATTTTCATAAAAATAATTTATTATTATTTTAAAATATTTTAAAAATTTATCAGTTTTAATTTATGACATGGTAAATATCAATAGATATAACCTACAGAAACAAAAGCTGATCTAAAACAATAACTTTATATATATTTGTGCTCTGGCTGAAATGTAGGTTCATAAGGCCTAAAGTCTTTGCTTTTATTAAATGTCCCACTGACATGGGCCCTTGAAGAGTTCCTCAGGGTCCAGCCTGAAAATCTCTTAACTTGTAAATATAAGTACAACAGTGTGTTTTGTCAGTTAATACGAAAAGAATTCACGTTTGCTTTTGAAATAGACATTAAGAACATTTTCATTTGGATTTGCCTCTATGTTTGGACCCAATTCTTAAAACAAGCTGAGAACAGACCTAGTAAAGGTCCTGGGTTTCTATTATTAATCTGCTAAGTATTTAATCCACTCTCGGATAAGACAGATATGACTGGACAGATAAAGCAGGCCACCAGAAAAGAGTGGTTATAATTAAATAAATAGTAATTAAAAAAAAGAGGATAATCATTTTTTTCACCCCGAGGTCCTCTCTTGGTCTTCTATTTTAAGCTGTCTCTCCCTTTTGGATGTTCAGATTTGTCAAGTACTTAGTGCTGTTTACTTGAGTACTATTTACTGCTAAAAGAAAGAGTTCTCTGCATAAACTGTTACAGAGAAAACAAAATTTGTATAATCACATTTGCTGATTGCAAACTAAACTTGAGTAAGTATAATACACTGGTTATGTGGCTGAGGTATCATATCTCTACTTACTGGTCTACCATTAATTTTAAAATCATATATTACCATCAAAAGCAATCAGAAAGGATACCCACTGAATTATTTCATAATGGTTTCCTCCAGGAAGAAAAATAGGACTGAGGAATGGGAAGGATATTAACTTTTCAGCCTACATATTTTTTTGTATGTATTCCTTGACAGCCTAAAAACCATAATATATTCATGAACTACTTGTATAAATTTTAAAAATTGTTTTAAATGATACTAGCTTATGCTTGAGATACCTGAGCAAACAGAGTGAGACTGTCTCAAACAAAACAAAACAAACAAACAAATCCCTGCATTAATCTGCCCAGAATTAATCTGGTATATTATGAAGAATTAACCTTGTTTCCTCCCCCAAAGAGTACACGTCCTAGCAAAATTCACAAATTAATATTTTCTATCCCCAACAAATTTGTGACAGAACATTTTCCATTTACTAAATTCCTTTTTTTTTTTTTTGAGACAAGAGTTTTGCTCTTGTTGCCTAGGCTGGAGTGCAATGACATGATCTCCTCTCACCACAACCTCTGCCTCCCAGGTTCAAGTGATTCTCCTGCCTCAGCCTCCTGAGTAGCTGGGATTACAGGCATGTACCACCACGCCTGGCTAATTTTGTATTTTTAGTAGAGATGGGGTTTTTCCATGTTGGTCAGGCTAGTCTCGAACTCCTGACCTCAGGTTATCTGTCTGTTTCTGCCTCCCAAAGTGCTGGGATTACAGGTGTGAGCCACCACACTCGGCCCAGAAAAGACTATTTTAACCAAGATAATAGATATTATGAGCCTTTGCTCTACAAAGGTAAAGCTAAAATGCTTACTAGGGCCACCAGGTATGGTGGCTTATGCCTGTAATCCCAGAACTTTGGGAGGCCAAGATAGGATGATCCCTTGAGCCCAGGAGTTTTGAGACCAGCCTGGGCAACATGATGATACTACCATCTCTACAAAAAAGAAAAAAACTGGCAGGCATGGTGGTGCATGTCTGTAGTCCCAGCTACTTGGAAGGCTGAGGTGAAAGAATTGCTTGAACCTGGGAGGCTGACAATGCAGTGAGCCATAATCATGCCACTGCCTTCCAGCCTGGGCAGTATAGAGCAAGACCTTCTCTGAATAAAATAAAATAAAATAAAATAAAATAAAATGCTTATTAATTACTCACCATCACATTCTTCTTTAGAAATACCATATTCGAACCTGAAGCCTAGTCTCTTTACATATTTTTTTTTCAAGATGGAGCCTCGCTCTGCTGCCCAGGCTGGAGTGCAATGGTATGATCTCGGCTCACTGCAATCTCCGCCCCCGGGGTCAAATCATTCTCTTGCCTCAGCCTCCTGAGTAGCTGGGATTACAGGTGCCTGCCACCATACCCTGCTAAGTTTTGTATTTTTAGTAGAGACAGGGTTTCACCAGGTTGGCCAGGCTGGTCTCGAACTCCTGGCCTCATGATCTGCCTGCCTTGGCCTCCCAGTGCTGGGATTACAGGCGTGAGCTATCATGCCCAGCCACATATGTTGTCAGCATTTAACAACCTAGATTTCAAACTCACTGGGAAGATAAGACATTACTAAAATGTCTGGATATTTCAGCTTTAGCATCATGTCACTGGGTAATTGCTTATGATCTTTCTATTCTGAAAAATTTCAAACTTTCAGAGAAGTCAAAAGGATAGCAAAACGAATACTCTAAGCCTACCTTCATGCTGATTCTTAATTAACATCTCCCACTCTCTTTCAATATAAACTCATATATTACTGAATCATTTGAAAGTAAACTGCAGACAGCATGAGATCCCACCCTTCAATATTTCAGCAAATATATTCTAAAAACAATAATAGTTTCCTTGCTTTTTAAAATATTTTACTCAAAAAATATTTTTTACAGGTATGCCTACCACGTACATTCTTCTGTTAACATCTTCCTGTAATTGCTTTGTAACATTTCTATCCATCTTATTTTTAATACATTTTCAAGTAAACTGAAGATATTAGAATAATTCCTAAATACATCAGCAAATAGGCTTATCACTATCTAGAATTTGTGATTTATGTTTTTTCCTTTTGAGTAAAATTTACATACAATGAAATGTATAAATATATGTACTTCCTGAGTTTTGATAAATGAACATATGTAACTAAAACCCTTATTAAGACATAGAATATTACTCTAGAAAGTTCCTTCATATGAAAATATGGAATGCTTCACGAATTTATATGCCGTTCTTATGCAGGAGTATACTGCTTTATTTTTTTTTTTAAAAAATGGTTTAACAAGGCTCATTTTCTGTAAAAAATTACCTGTTCACAATAGCTCTCTTCTTTAGTATGCTGGAGACAGCTAATTATACACAAAGTTGAGATGGTCATTTATGAGAGTCACACTAGAACAGGATTCTGCAAACTGCAAATATGCCTGCCATCTGATTTTGTGAATGAAGTTTTACTGGAACACAGGTAAACCCACTCATTTATGTATTGTCCATGGCTGGTTTTGTACTGCAACTGTGGCAGAGTTAAGTAATTATGACAGACAAAATGATTGGGAAAGCCTAAAATTCTTTTTTTTTTTTTTTTTTTTTTGAGACGGAGTTTCACTCATGTTACCCAGGCTGGAGTGCAATGGCGCGATCTTGGCTCACCGCAACCTCCGCCTCCTGGGTTCAGGCAATTCTCCTGCCTCAGCCTCCTGAGTAGCTGGGATTACACCACCATGCCCAGCTAATTTTTTTTGTATTTTTAGTAGAGACGGGGTTTCACCATGTTGACCAGGATGGTCTCGATCTCTTGACCTCGTGATCCACCCACCTCAGCCTCCCAAAGTGCTGGGATTACAGGCTTGAGCCACCGCGCCCGGGCAATTCTTTTGGCTCTTTATAGTAAGTTTGCCCGCCTTTGCTCTAGAAGATGATTTGGTATCTTTCTCTGTTTCAGATAATTAATGAAATAAATAAACACATACCAACAGAATATAGAAACAGAATTCATGATCAAAGCTGAGACTAATTACACTGAGGCCCATGTAACTGCCTTCTGAGAGTCAGCAGCTTTGTTTTACTAAGCACAGTATTTGTGTGTCGGGCGTGGGGTGGATGTAATGAATGGAAGGTCCTATGACTTAAAAAGCACTTTAAGTTCTTTCTCTCTTAATGAGATAGAACACTACAAGAAACAGAGGTTCATTTGATAAATATAATGATGTAAAAATATAACCTAATTCCTATTTTAGTCAGAAGAGAGGTCAGAAAAAGAAAAGGAAGAACAGGGAAGTAAGATAGTAGGTGCAGAAATACGTTGTAGTGGTTGAGGGGTAGAAACAGGAACACACAAAAAGAAAAAATCTACAGGCAAAGTAGACTCTAACATAGTGTCTAGTACAAAAATAGATGCTCAGTAAGTATAATGACTGAATGAGTAAAAATTAAAGGGCCTTTCTCACTTATTCTGCAGGCTTTAAATTCAGTTATCATCTCTCATTAGTGTCCTTTGAAATGCTAACTTGTCTGCAGAGTTCACTCACTTCCCTAGGAATGTGATGCAGACATGGAAGAAGCCCTCCTCAAAGACAGATATAATCCAGAGAAGGACTGTCTGGTCTATATTTAAAGGTTTTAAGTAGCTATTTATTTTGTTTTTCCTTCCAAAATATCTCATTTCTACAGAAGATCACGGGAGACTGTAACCCTGTATAAAATTATTTGCCAACATAAATCAGTTCAGAACATTGTAGAATATGTACAACTTCAGGACACTGCTCTCTCTTCTCTTGGGAATAATAAACATCTAAATTATACACAGACAATTTCTATTATGGGGTAAAGGAAAAGAAGATCTATTATCATAAACAATCAGGGTGCTCAATGGGAGGACACAAAATTAAGGACAAAGGTGCATGTTTTTAAAGACACATAAATATAGCAGGGGTTTTCCATCTTTAGAAGGACCTGTAGGGCCTGTTAAAACCAAGACTGCTGATGTCTAGCCCAAGTTTCCGATTTAGTAGTTTTGGGGTGTGGCTAGGGTTGCCAGAAAAAAAAAAAAAAAAAAAAAGGCAATGCCTAGTTAAATTTGAATTTCAGAGAAACAACAAATACTGCAATATTTTATTTTTATTTGCTAAATCTGGCAACCCTAGAGTTAGCATTTTTAGCAGATTTTGAAGAGATGCTGATGCTGCTGGTCTAGGGACCTTACTTCGAGAACCTCTGGGATATAGGATATTATGTTATCACCAAGAAGGAAAAACTGGGGGATGAGGGAAGGTGAGTAGATCAGGCAAGAGTTCTGGGGGAAAGGACAAGGACAAGGGGTGAGTCTTTAAGGATGCCTAGAAGCTAGCTAGAATATTAAGAGAGGAAAGCTTTGAGCAAAAGGGCAGAAATGTCAGAAAATGCCTGACATTTAAAGGAAATCACAAGAAGCTTGGTGTTGCTGGTGCATAAAGCTTCATGCAGGTGGTGTTAGGTTAAGACTAGAAGGGCAGAGGCCAGAGAGTACTAGGACCTTAGGTACCCTGTTAATAAGCACTGAGGGAATTTATACTGTAAAACAATCAGCTTACATGATGGGGAGCAATTTAAAGAGTTTTAAGCAGAGCAGGGACTTAATCAGATTTGCATTTTTAGAAAGATCATTTGGGTGGAGGATCAGAAGCACTATGATTATGTGTTCAGGAGTATTTGAAATACAGTAATTTATGGAAACCATTTTAAATCTAAGTCTGCACAGACACAGAGACTGCTGGAGGCTGGCTACACCAGAGACGGGAAGGAAACAGAACAATACTCAATTCATTATGAAATTTATTTAAAGTCCCTGTTAACTTGGCTCTCACTGATGCCAGAAGGACAGCATTTAATTTTTAAAGATGCCAAATAAAAATGCATGGTTACAAAACTTTGTAGTTGTCTAGAATATATTATTTTGAACATTTATTCTTAAGCCTCTTTGATAATGTGTAAAATGATTTAAAATAAGACTTAAAAACAGGTATTGACATAATATAGCACTCATGCTAACGAGTTTCTGCCAAAAAAGTTAAAGACAATTAAAAAGCAGCTTCCTATTTACTGCCTATTTCAGCTTGTAAGCATGTTTATGGGCCCTTCTGCTTGTCAGAAAAGTCATTACAATGATGTCCACACTTAAGACTCAAAGGAAGCTAGGTGTTAGTCTGGAGCTGGAAATCCTGGAGGCCCGTCATATCTTACCAGAGTAGACCTAACGAGCTTTAATTTTCTCAACTGTGAGAACAATAAATTAAAAAAAAAAAAGAAAAAAAAATTTTCTCAACTGTGAACTGAGTTGAACTGATCATTTGCAAAGCAGCATTCTCCTTTACCAGTCTCCAAAACCAGCAAAGGACATCGTCACCTATTTTCAGACAACATTTAAGGACAAAAATGTGTTGTCCAGTATGTATATGAAAGACATTAAAATATTGTTGGCTTAATCAAGGTCACTTATCTAAGATTCTACATGTCCTGAAAGACCAAGCATCAAAAGGAATATTCCTTTCAGTGTTCTTTTTGAGTCTATTTCACTATGGTAGCAACAGCTATATTGGCCAAAGATATAAAAGTGCTGCCTTGGAATGACACTTGTTTTCACTGTACATTCATAGTACAAAACCTGTGACACATCAGTTTCGTGGCTGAAGGGAAAAGTTAATTTGTGCGTATTTCCTTTTTCTTATTTAAAATAAGATAATCGATAGGAACAAAAGCTAAAATATACCGTGGTCACGAAGCAGGTGCCACTTAGAAACCTCTGCAATGACGTTAGGAGCCAAGTTTTACTACCCACAAGGGTAGGCTGGCTGAGGAGTGGAGGCTGGACGCATCATCTCAGCAAATGACCACTGCAAAGCTGCCATGGTTGCAAAAACCCAGGGACGTTTATTTATTAGCTTGTTTCCTTGAAATGAGTTTAAGCCATCTGCAGAGATTAAAGCAGGCCTCTACACCACTCTATGAAATCCTGACTCCCATGGCGCATTCTGGGACAGTGAGTGTCCACGAAGGCCCTACCTGTAATCGCAGAGCTTGGGTTGGCTGCCACACTGCTGCTTGCAAACCATACAGTAACTGCACAGGGGCACGTTGCCCCGGATCCAGTGGTGGGGCATGGCGTCCAGGACCTTGCTGTCATTCTTGAGCATAATCTCCTTGCACTGGAAGCGCTTGTCGGCCTTCTTGAGGCAGTCCTCATCCACACGGAGCCCGCAGCAGTCGCAGAAGGCGCCCCGCAGAATGTGCTGCGCGCACACGCAGCAGTAGGTGGGCTGGCTGAACAGATCCGTGTCGCGCCACCCGTGCTTGCTCTTGCGGAAGATGTCCCTGCGGTGCAGCTGCCGGCGCGACCGCTGGAGGCTACACCAGAAGGTGATGAACACCGGCAGCAGGACCGAGCACAGCGTCCATAGGATCAGGTGCCCGTCCGCAAACAGGCCCTCGGAGGGCGGGCCCGGCGCCGGCCGCCTCTCCGCTTCCATCTTCTCCAAGGACGGTGCCTAAAGAGGAAAGAAATAGGCACCTGCACCCCGTGCTCCCCATCCCTTCCCCGCCCCCTTCCTGCCTTTCTGGGGCCAACGAGGGCGCCCTCAGTCCAGGTGGCTCCGCTCTCCCCAGGACGGGCCAGCGCTTCGTCCCCCGGTCGCCCGGTACCTGCCGCGCCAAGAAGGCGACGTCCAGCCGTCACGCTCCAGTCCCCACTCCCCAACCCGCCCCAAATCGGGAGCGCGTCCGGGAGCCCAGGACTGCTGCTGCTGCTGCTGCCGCCTCAACTCGCCGCCCGTCAGACCCACAGAAGGGCGCAAAACACAGGGGCAAGCTGCTCTCCACCGAAAAGCCTGGCGTTCAGGCCACGCGACGCCGGTGGGCGCCCGTAACCGTTGGCCCAGGCCTAGCCCAGCCGCTCCCGGCCCGGGGAGCGGTCTTTTCCCGGGCCGTGCCCGCCCCCCGGCGCCCTTGCCCCTCTCGGGAGGTCTCCGCAGACCTGCACCGCGCCCGTCCTCGAGCCCCTACCTCGCGCGGGCTGAGGCGCGGCTCCCGGCCAGGCCTCAGCAGCCCTCGCGCAGGAGGAGCGCGACGCTGGGCCGCGGGCGGCGATGAAGCCGGGCGGGGTGAACGCTTGAGGCTTCAGCCGCACGCACGCCGATGCGGCGCGCGGGGCTAGGAGCTGGAGGCGGGGCCTGCGGCGGCGAGCCCAGTGGTTGGGCGGAGCCAGAGCTGACGGGCGGGGCGGAGGTGTGAGGTGGGAGGGGAGACAGACAGCCCTGAGGGGGCGGGGCCGTGGAGAAAGCTGGAGACAGATGAAAGGGCCGGGGCACAGTGGATGGGGGCGGGGCCTGGAGGAAGGGGGCGGGGCCTGGAGGAAGGGGGCGGAGTAACAGTGGGGCGTTAGAGAGGATGGAGGGTTGAACGCCAAAAATTCGTTATCATAGAAAATTCTGGGGCGCCGACGGCGGGGAGGGCCGCGAGCATCTTCCCGGCCGCACCTGAGCCTCGCGGGGTCCAGGGGCCGCGCCCACGCCCTTCGCCCGGCGCTGACACGAGTGCTCCGGGTTTAAACCGAACCTCTGGCCTAGACCGCGGCCGCTTGAGAAGCCGACGCCGTCTGGAAAGCACGGGAGGTGGCGGCCTGCGCGGCGCTCCCCGCCATGGCCGCGGCAGGCTTAAGTAGATGCGGCGGCCGCAGTAGCTCAGACCCGAGCGCTCCTCAGCCGCGGGCAGGCGGGCTGGCGCGGAGGCCGACGGGGAGCGGGGCCGCAGCCCGCTGGTCGCCGCTGACCCCGAGCCCTGCCGCGGTTTCCGCCCCCTGCCGTGGCGGGCAGTCCTCCCCTCCACGCCCCCGCCGCCCGCGCCCGCCAGCGCCCGGAGCGAGAAAGGGGAGCAGCGGGAGCCGGGGACCGCCGGAGATGGGAGCACGCCTCGTGCTGCTGTTGTCCCGCCCCAGGCTCCGGAGGAAGGCCCGCTCCCGGACTTCGCCGCGACTACGCGGGCTGCAGCCTACAACATGTTAGCGACCCGGAGAACGCGGACGGGTAAGCACCACCGTTCAGCAACCCCGAAGAAACACGGAGTCCACAGGGCGCAGGCACCACCCCAGCACGCACAGCTCCACCCAGCTCCACTCCGCGGCTTCCTTTCTACCACATACGTAGGAAGAGGAGCCAGGGACCACTTGATCCTTGAAGACTTCCTCCAGCAGAAAGGATGGAAAGAAAACCCACATCAAAGCAAGGGACCAAAGGAACCGAAAAGAAATGCATAGATTATAGGAAAACTGCAAAGAAATACCTGATAATATCTTCCAAAGGATTAGGGAAGAGGGTCCAGGGTTCAAGTCCCTCTTCGGGCGTGTCCTGTGGTGTTTGGCACCTGCTTCTAAGGCTATGTTTGAAAGGATTAGGGAAGACATAACATTCATTAAGAATACACATATAGATAGATGTATATATGTGTGTGGGTATGTATATGTTGTTACGTGTGCATATATATGCATATGTATGTGGGCATATGGGTATTAACTGTAGAAGGTAAAGCTAGACACTAGTAAAAGTGGTGAGAGCAGCTTTTAATCAATAATATACTATTGGAATAGGGAAGAAGGTACTTCGTGAACGGAATTGAACTTTGTGCAGAAGTGATTGGGTGTTTCAGAGGGTGAGAGTGGCAGTGTGGAAGGGATGAGCAGTCACTCAGTAGCCAGGAAAGTGAAAACTTGTGAAAGTTGGGTCAGTGTAAGTAAGGTTAGGCTACCGTGCGGGTTAGGTGGCTGTTATGGGAGTTAGGTTCCTATCCTCCAACAGGAACTGAGAGATAGGCCCTGTGCTTCCTGGTGATTGCATGTTGGAGGAATGACTTTCAGGTTCTTGAGAAGGACACGGCTGGTGTGTAGGAGACATTACATCCCAAAGAGACAGAGGAAGGTTTCACAATTGTTTAGTTTGTTGTTGTTAACTATGAGAAAGGAACATCAGGGGCTGCTTGTAAGGTATTGCCGATAGCCAGCAGTGAGTTCTTTTGGCAGCTTTCCCAGGCAGACACTTTAGGGGGTGTGGGGTCATCCTACAGATGCAGCTTTGAGTTGTTAGAAACGATGTGTTTAAGTCTTTTAATATAGGGGGAAGGATGGACTCGACCCTTTTTGCTGTAATCTGCAGATTTCGTAGGCCAAGGTGGAGGCCTAGTTGAGAAGGGGGCTGAGGGAAGCCTGTCTAGAGCTTGGTCAAGGAGGGGATCTTCATCAGTCTGTATGTGTATACATGGCACGTGGACATGCATACATACGTGAATGGTGGAGGCTGTGTTAAGAGGATTCTGCACAACTCAAGTGTCCTAATGGAAACAGACTTGGGGAGCTCACTCTTGAGACTTTTTGTGGTATTGTGGATACTGGGAGACCCGAGGAGGGTTCTGGCCACTAGCAGACTCATTGCATTCACCCTTTGGAATCTGCCCAGGCCTTGGACTTACTCTATATAATAGTGACTTCACTCCCCACTGATCCTCCATGTTCCTTGCTGATGCTGTGATTGTTCCTCCAAGTCCTCCAGCATCCCTGCTGATGCTGTGATTGTGCATCTGAGCACTTGGTATTTCTTTTCTGGTGTCAAAAGTTCCTGGTCCCAAGTCTCCTCCCATTCATTCCACTTTATCCAGATGCCCCTCCTTTGCCATCCCTCTCTGTTCCAGCAAAGTGTACCACCCCTCAGGGAGATCCTCACAGTGGACTCCTCCTCCTCATCCTGACTTCCCTTTTTTCTGGCACCCGCAGGACTCAGTGAGTCTCTTGGTCTCTGGTTGCAGCACAGGTCCTGGACTCGAGCCCATCTCTCCATCCCCGCCTCCACTACTCGTCAGGTCCAGCTGTCACCATTTCTCACTCTTGAATCACTGTCATAGCCTCCCACCTGGTCTCCCTGTTTTACCCTGTTTACTACAAGCTGCCTCTGGACTTTTATATTGAGACTGTTAACTGTGGTGAGAACCCTTCCATCCTCAGACCCCTGGTACCCTTTACTCACTTCCCACTGTGGCCATCGTTCACTGAATTCAGGCCACTCTGGCCTCTGTATGGTCCTCACGCCTCCAGACTCATGCACCCTTCAGGCCTATTGCCAGTTCCACTCCCTCTTCCTACAGAGTTCTTCCCTATGTCCTCACTGCTCAGGTGCTCCCTCCCCACAGAGCCCCTGCTGATCAACCCTGCCAAGACTGTCCTCACTCTCACATGCATTACTCCCGCTCCTTCCCTCTTTATTTTTCTCCATAAAACTAGCATCTCCTCACATGCCATGTCTTCTACTTACATTGTTTAGTATCTGCCTTTCCTCCCCAAAATGAGAGCAATATGAAGACAGGGACATTTGCTGTCTCCAACCAAAGCACTTTTTTTTTTTTTTTTTTTTTTTGAGGCAGAGTCTTACTTTGTCACCCAGGCTGGAGTGCAATGTCACCATATTGGCTCACTGCAGCCTTGACCACCCAGGTTCAAGCAATTCTCCTGTCTCAGCCTCCGAAGTAGATAGGATTACAGGTGCCTGCCACCTCACCCAGCTAATTTTTGTATTTTTTAGTAGAGACAGGGTTTCACCATTTGCCAGGCTGGTCTTGAACTGCTGATCTCAGGTGATTCACCTGCTTCAGCCTCCCAAAGTGCTGGGATTACAGGTATGAGCCACTGTGCCCGGCCGAACCAAAGCATGTCTGCTGCTGCTGTCCCTGTCATTGATCTATGTGACTTCCCCTCCACCGCAGTTACTCAAAATGTCACTTGCTGCTTCTCTTCCATCAGGATAACACCCATCTGTGCCCACTGACTAATGAGGGGACATGACTGGTGTTTACATACACTAACTGTGGGAACCTTGGTTTAATTTTGTGAGAGAGAAGTCCTTTACAGCCTCCTTAGCTTTCCACTGAGAAATGTTTTTAGTGATTTTGAGAGGAGATGGGGGAAAAGTGATGTGGGGCTCCCAAGGGGATTTCTTAGAAATCTCTTCCTACAGCACTCTTGTAGTGAAAGAAAACCATCTTCATGTAACTTGTCAGTTTTGTTTTTTGAAAAATGTTTATCCACTATTTGAATATAAATATTAAATAATAGAAATTTATCTTTAAACATTCTCTTTTACTTTATCCTAAACTAAATCTCTGTTTGCATAGAATTTTTCAACAAATACATACTCAGGCCAAAAAATGATGCTTTAACTTATGACTTAACAACTGTTGGGAATATAACTCTAGAAAAAATATTGCTATTGAGTACTGAAAGTCTTTATTGGTAAACGCAATCTATTTCCAAAGTATAATACAATAATTGTATAGAGGATAAAATAGAAATTGTTCACCTAGGAAATTAATATATAAATATTTACAGAGCATTGTCTTGAGAAATGCAGTTTGATGATGTTTCAGTTTGAGCAAAAGATGAGGCTCTCAAGTATGGCATTTCTTTGGCTGCTAATGAGAGAGAATCCAGACTTTCTTGGTGTACTCCAGGTTCTCCTGTATTCTTTAGATTTGGAGGAATTCACCATGAAGGAGCTGGCTGTAGTGTCAGCAGGCGAGGGTGGAAACTTCAATCCAGGAAGGGGCTCCCCTGGATCCACTGGAGTCAACGTGGGAGAACATAGCCTGGCAGCTCTGGAGGCCTGAGTGGAGGGAAAAGAACAGCGCTGTCCTATGACCCAGGCCCCTCCTGGGGAAGGTAGAAGCAGGGCTGGCTCTTGGCTGCCTGGCAGGTGTGGAAAAGCTCCTTGTCACGGGGTAACTCCCATGGCCTCTTCCATGGACTCCGGCATTGATATTTCTGCCAGCTTTTCTTGTTGCTTGGAGAGTCTGGATCTTTCTTCTACCATTTTTTCTTTTCTTCTAATTTTTTATTTTTTAAAATGTCTCTCAGTTCTTGAACGGGGATGTGATTTTCTTTTTTTCTTTTCCCTCCCCTCCCCCACCTGCTCTCTTCACCCCTCCCCCCGTCTCCTCTCCTTCCCCCACCCCGTCTCCCCTCCTCTCCCTTCCTCTCCCTTTGTCTCCCCTCGTGTCTCCTCTCTTCCTCTTTTCTTTGTTTTTGAAATGGAGTCTTGCTCTTGTCCAGGCTGGAGTGCAATGGCGTGATCTTGGCTCACTGCAACCTCCACCTCCCGGGTTCAAGTGATTCTCCTGTCTCAGC